TGTGTGTGTGTGTGTGTGTGTGTGTGTGTGGGCGCACGCGCGCCTTTCAAATCACCAGGTACCGTGAGTGGTACTTTATATGATTTCAGAAATCAAGACAGAACCAGAACCATTCAACTGTACGGGAAAGCGAAACCTCTGGTACCCGGACCCCGAGAGCTGCATTGTTTTCTACCAGTGCACGAACGGCCAACTGGAAGAAATGAAGTGCGGCCTGGGGTACTTCTTCAACGCCTACACTGTCAGCTGTAATAGCGCTACGTTCGAGATTAATGCCGGGAAATGCCTCGCTGATGGTAGGCAGTGTTCCATTCCATAATATACGATGTTCATGGTCATGACACACAGGTCTGTAGCCGGGGGAGAGGGGTGGTTAGGGGGTTCAAATGGACCGCTTTTTTGTGCCACGTTCCCGGCCAATCCCAGCCACACATCTTGATATTGTCAATACGTTATTGTCATAGTAACAGTGTGGTAAACAAGTACTGAATCCATATTCGTCAGTATGGTCATTGCATGGTTAGACCAAAGACCAATACACATGTAAAAATGCAGTCCCCTCGCTTAAAATATATCACTTACAGAATAACCCTAGGAGGTGGGATGCTCTTGGAAACTGTAAATGATAATCCCAAGGACGATATTCGGAGAGGGGGGGCGTATGCCACTCCCCAGGCCCCAGTTTCACAAAAAACTTAAGTCAGGTTCCCTGGCTAAGAACTTAATTACCAAGGTTACAGGGTCACATGGGTACATCTTACCCTATCAGGAGCAGTGTTACAGTCCTCTCATGGAAATCCTAGTCAACTAAGCCAGGGAACAGACTCAAGTTTTTTTTTTGTGAAACTGGAGCCAGGAAGGTTTGGTCTTTTCAGGAATTAACAAATCCAGAAAGACCAGGCAGAGAGTGTTAAGCCGACTGACCTTGTTTACTGGGGATATCGACCGAAGCCCATTCATTTCATTTCATTTCATTTCATTTCATTTCATTTCATTTTATTTATTTTATTTTATTTTATTTTATTTTATTTTATTTTATTTCCAGGAAGCCGGGTATCAGAGGACTCAGACAAAGAGAAGCCGTTCGTGTGCCCAGGTCCTGGTTACTACCCTCACCCCACTGAATGCTCCCAGTATTACAGCTGTATCCTGGACAGCTACGGGAAGTTCGTCAAGTCTCTGATGACCTGCCCGGACCAATTTGGCTTTGATAGTAATCCCTCCAGTTTTGGTTGTGTCTTCATGCTGCACCTTAGCCACTGTGATAGCAACGGAAAAGTGATTGATCCGACGGGTCAGTTAAAGTCCGCGATTTTTAGCGTTCATTTACAAAACCTTCCCGTTAAATGTCAATTATGGGGTAACTGGCAAAGAACCGGTGATGTAATGGATTAAGTTGTCATGTTTTATTTGTGTCAAATTTAGACACAACGCACGTACGTTTTCATTCCAAAATATACATTAATCGTAGAATTTTTAAATTTGTACCTTGTACGAATTGGATTTTTATTCTCATTATTTTTAGTAAAAGACGTACGTTGTATTACATATTCATAAACGAAGACTCCTTTCATTCAGTCATCCAAACAATGAAAAATTATAATTGAATAATCGATTTACTTCAAAAGTTTCAGACGGTACTAAGGAGAGATATTTTTACTGTTCATACTTATTATTGTCTTAATGCATAGCTAAAGATTGTATTCTACAGAGAGAAACGCCACTACATCCGGGCCCCTCACCACCACGACGCCTGCGCCCCGTGAGCCCTGCACGGCCGGCGAGACCGGAGAGAAGAAAGTCAACCTCGAAGACTGCCGCCAGTTCTACGTGTGCACCAACCTGGAGTGGGTCCTCTACGACTGTGCCCCGGGGTTGGTCTACAGCACCGCCAGGGGGATCTGTGACTGGGACGTCAATGTCGACACGTGCGATAACGGTAACGTGGTAACCAGACCCCCCACGGCGGTCGACTGCGCTGATGGGCGAGAGAGCGGGTACTATCCCGATCTCTCCACTTGCCAAAAGTTTGTTGTGTGCGAGGACGGGAAGTTCCTTGGGGAGTTCAGCTGTGCCGCGGGGACGTTCTTTGATGAGGTCGGCAAAGGCTGTCAGCTTATTGAAGATATGGTGGAGAAAGGGGAATGTAGACAAAATGGTAAGATTCAGCTTTTCAAGACTGTAGAGGGTCATTTTAAAAGGGGTTCTTTTCTGTAAAAGAGCACGTTGTTATCTCTTTGACTGACCCTTGAAAAATGACAGAATCTGGATCAACTTTTGATTAAGAGCAAATATTCATCTCTAACAAAAACGGTTGTTCTTTCAAACGACCGTTTCTTCAACCCCACCTCTGTACGGGTTGGTTTTGACCAAACCACTAAGACATGTCTTTTTTCTTTGCAATATATGTTTGTATTGTGCCTATGTATTGCAATGTTATTATTTATTTTTAAATGTGCGTGTACAAGTGAGAGAACAAGTGAGCGAGTGAATGTGAAAGTACTATTTCAGTTAAGTGTTTTTGTGTTTTCTTTTAATTCTAATTTATTTCCTAAGTATAATCAAACATTAAAAAATATTAAAACAAAAATGTCCTGAACAAGCAGGCGATCCCTAACATAGTAAAACATCCATATGTTATTCTCCTAGGCGACAGAATTCCGAAAGAAGACCGATTCTTCACCTGCCCGAAGGACTCCGAGCAGACGATGTTTCCTCACCCTCTGAACTGCACCAAGTTCTTCCTGTGCCTGCCCACCTCGTACTCGGTGGTCAACTGTAACGAGGGCTATGCCTGGAGCACTGACGTCTGTCTGCCTATAGACCAGGTGACCACCTGTGGGCCGAACCTGGAGTATGTGAAAGGTAACTACGTGTGTGCGTAAAAGCGAGAGAGGGTGCTTGTGAGTGTGTGCGTGTTTATGTGCGTGCATATGTGTGTGTGTGAGTGTGCTTGTGTGTGTGTGTGTGTGCGTGTGTGTGTGCGCGCGCGCGCGGTATGTACGTGTGTGTTCGTGTTCTCGCGCATGCGTGCATACATGTGTGCATGTGGGAGAGTATATGTGTGTATATGAAAGAAGCCTTCTTTTGGTGATGACTGTCAATCGCCTCCCAGTATTTGCACCATATTTTCGATTGCGCCTGCAATGATTTTACCAATCCGGATATACAACACATGGTAAAGGGAGTTTTTCTCTTTAAGAAAATCTTTTTTTTTTAGTTTATAATGTGTTTCCGAACACAAAATAGAAATGTCCGAACGAAAAATGTATATTGATGAAAGATTAAATGTGCATTCACTTTGGTTGTAAAACAGTACCACTGGTGATATTAACAAAATTGTCTTACTTTTACGTAATTATTGAATTGAAATTATTTTAAAACAAACATGGAAATGGTCATCTTATGCAGCATCCCATAAGCTTACTTAAGTTTTTAAATACTTGACAAATGCATCTCTTTGTTGAATTCCAGATACAGACAGCAATGGAACCACCAACAAGATATGTTGTGAAATGGGTAAAGTCCCCTCAGAGAACAGCTGTGCAGAGCGAGCCGAGACGCTCTCAGAGCCGTGCAAGACTGCCTTCCTCGACTGCTGCACGGACAACGACAAAGACGGCGACAATGACGCCGTTAAAAAGACGTGCTGTGCTATGGCCACGAACCCATCCGACCGAAGCTGTGCCGACAGATCCGCCTCCCTGACTGAGCCCTGTAAGAGTGCTTTCCTCGGTTGCTGTACAGACGGAGCCCAGAACAGCGAAGATGTTAAAATATCATGTTGTGAGCAGGGAACAAAACCGTCGAGCCGAACCTGCGCCGAGAGAGCCACGTCCCTCTCCGAGCCTTGCAAGAGCTCCTTCCTCGGGTGTTGTACAGACGGTGGTGATAGTAACGCCTTCCATAAAGTAACATGCTGCAAGTTGGGGTCGAACCCATCCGACAAAAGCTGCGCAGACCGATCGGCGTCCCTCATTGAGCCCTGCAAGAGTTCTTTCCTCGGCTGCTGTAACGACGGTGATGAGGACAACGTAGCCGCCACTAAGCAGAAATGTTGTGACATGGCGCTGGCGCCGTCTGACGGAAGCTGCGCCGAGAGAGCGCAGTCTCTGTCAGAACCCTGTAAGAGCGCCTTCCTCGGCTGCTGCAAGGGGCCCGATTCAGGAATTTTGGGAGGTGAATAAAATCGATGAATTATCGTCGGAAGAAAGAGGAAGAGGGCTGGTTGGCGTGCGTGTGTGTGTGCATGTGTGTGTGTGTGTGTGTGTGTGTGAGAGAGAGAGAGAGAGAGAGAGAGAGAGAGAGTGTTTATTAAAAATAGATCTATGTCATATCCTATTTTATATTTTAGGTAATGGTACCACCGGATCCATTATTATTAAAAATGCCACTAACAATACCACACCAGGTGAGTGTCACCCATGTTCAAGTAGAAAAAATGCATTGGCTGCCTTTATTTTTTCCTCAGGGTTACTCTGCTGTTTTAGTAATGAAGGTTTTGGGAAAAGCATGTATCTTCTGTATCCTCCTCAGGGAGGCGAGAAGTCTACAGCCAGTCTGACGCAGGTTCCAAAAAGGTTGCGATCTGTTTAAACCGCACTAAAACGCACCTGCGTAAGAACCATACTTTATAAGCAACATACCTTTCTTTACATTGAAATCACCTTGATTTAAGCGACTGCAGGTGCATGCATCACTTTTTGCGTCACTCTGATGGACTCGCGAGCACTTTCTATGGTCTATAGATAAGTGAATAGTATTTTGAATTCAAATATATATATATATATATATTCGTATTTTTCTTGGTTCAGTGAGGAGAGCAAATAATTTTCGAGGCAATTTGACTCATTTTTTACATTAATCTTATTAAAAAATAAACTGCCATGTTGACTACGTACTTATTGTTTTGTTGAGCTGGGTTTGGTTCTTTGATTCTTACTTCAGGTTTTAACGCTCTCTTTCGGCGTACTCACTGTTTCACAGCGAGTGAAATCGCAGTGCGCGATAATTGACGTTTGTTTATATAACCTGCCAATCAAGCTGTTATTACTTGACAGCAGCTATAAAAACTATTTTCAGAAAAAGCTGGTTGCGCTGTTAACAATGGCGGCTGCTCTCACACCTGTACGGATGCGGACGGCGGTGTCAAATGTTCCTGTTCGGCGGGGTATGTTCTGGGTAGCGACGGGAAGACTTGTGAAGGTGATTGCTTGGTTTTTTATTGTAGCAATGTATCATTCTTGGCAAAACTGGCACCTGGTCCTTCTTTTTATCTCACATTAAGTACATACCTATAATCATCAACTTTGAAATTTGTCCACAGTCTGTATATCTATTCAAAGATAAGTGTAGGAAAGTGAGTTGTAAAATTTTTGATTTTCTCTAGATTTGACTCTGTTTTACTATTATTATTATTATTATTATTATTATTATTATTATTATTATTATTATTAAGTCGTAATTACATTAGCAGCAGCAGAAGCGGCTGTAGTATAGTAGTAGTTGGTACCCATATAGAAGAGGAGAGCAACATCAAAAAAAAAATACGGGGTGTTTCTTTAAAAATGCTGTGCGTTTTAACAACTGCTAGAGTACGAAATATAACGATCTCATGACTTCACCGTCTTATATTATGGTTTAGACGATGACGAATGTGCGGTCAGGAACGGCGACTGTAGTCACACGTGTAAGAACAACCTGGGCGGATACAAATGTGAATGTCCGAGTGGATATGAACTCGAGGATGACCAACTCACCTGCAGGGGTAAGACTTATCACTTAAAAATTCTGGGGTAAAATTAACGGTGCTAATGCAGTTGTAGTAATGTTATAATTTTGTAATGTTTGTGCATTATACTTGGTGATTTTTTCTCTGTATCAGGGGGATGGTTCATTGTTTCATTGTCATCTTAATGAAAAGTGGACTTGAATTCTTTATGATGATTTTATGTTAATTTAGTAAGATATACGTGAATGAAATTGAAGTTGTCTGGTCGATAGGCCTATATAGAAATAAAGTTTTTCAGTTATATTTTAAACGTAAAAATAGTTGGAAAGTCGTTCCAACTGTCATTGGTACAGATTTAAGGCAAAGTTAGACTTATTGAAGAAAAAGAATTATTTTGCAAATGGAGCCGAAATTTTTTAGGAAGCATTCTCAAAGAATAAATAAATAAATAAATAAATAAATAAATAAATAAATAAATAAAAGAAACGTCTCTCCACAGGCCCAGACCCATTGTGTTACGGAGGCCAGGTTTGGAAGACGTGTGGCAGCGACTGCACCGCCACCTGTGAGGAACGCGACACACCATCGATGTGTACCTTAAACTGCGTGGCGCGGTGTGAGTGTCCGCCAGAGAAACCCTACTATCACAACTACAGATGTGTGGACGAGTCAGAATGCCCCACTCCTGGCACTAATGACACCACGGGTAAGTTAAGGAACTCACCAATTTTCGCGAACAATGGTTCTATTATGCACGGAGGCTAACGCGATGGTAGTCAAAAGTCGTGAAATTACGTCTTATTCTAAAACAACAGTATACGCGTTAAAATGCGCAGTCATGTACATTCTCCCAGGACTACAGATTGATTTTCGATGAATATTCACGGATATTGAATTTTGGAGAATCACGTGACTGGGTTGATGTTTTCTCGACCCGTTTCTCTGAGGCCGCATTCAGAACGGTGGACTAACTAGTCCGCGGGACAAATATGGCGACCCACTAAAAAGTTTGCCGTCTAATTCGCTAACAGACGCTGAATAGATTCCCTGTGGGGAAGTATTCAAGTGGATCGGTCATAGTTGACCCTCGGACTAGTTAGTCCACTGTTCTGAACGCGGACTTGAACCGATGCGCCACTAACAATCTCCTTGTTGTTTACTTCCATATACTGTATATAAAAGTGGCGGTTAATTTCGGAATAGGTTTAATGATGACAGTATCTCCCAAATGCGAGGTCATTAAACTTCTTATCAATATTGCGCTTTATTATAACATGTACTCTATTCAATACTTTCTGTAGAATGCTTCATGTCAGAATTTATCATTATTTTTCTGACAATTCTTTGCAATCGTTGTTACTTTAAAATTGTACTATTGTGATTTATTTTATTCCATTAAATCAAAACTGTCTATCTTTTTTTATGCAGGACCGATTCCTAAATTGAGTAAGTACTGATCAAACATTGTTGATACATTTGTAACAGCAAACTGTTGATTTCTTATATAAAGTGGTATTTTAGTGGTGTCTTTTGATAAAAATAAAATTAGACACGAGAGGATGTAAGATGGCGTGAGAGGATGTAAGATGGCGTGAGAGGACACGAGAGGATGTAAGATGGCTGACGGGGCGGAGTACGTGGTTTGTTAAGCTGCGGGAATTTGCCATC